AACTTGGTTGTCTGACGCTTTTTACCGCCACTCTCACACAGACAATCTCATACACGCCCATACATGCATAAGAGAAGGGGGAGAGGAGACAGAGTCCAMACTGCACACAGATCARAGTAGATAGCGGAAGCACAACCATGCACAGATGGGGAGAGGACACACAGTGTTTCTCACTCTCTGACGATACTCCCAACAACCAATCACAAGAAAGAACCTGCGAGGATAACAATTGGAATACACACTGATGACGAGCCAAATAATAAGAAATCGTTACAGAGTTTGTTCCAGTGTCTCGCCACTCTCAGAACTTCACACTCCACTCTCTACCCTACACCCAGTTAGTAGCGCCACATCAGAATGGCCTCCCAGAGGCCAGCGCCAACCAACCAGATGAAGAACAAATCCTGCAATGAAGTCTTCAGTGCCGCTGAACAATTCTGACGAAGAACCGGCAGCTATGGCTGCCGCCACCCACAAGGACTCAGTGCCGAGTCCCCACACAGCCCAGCCACTCGCAGGAACCCGCAGGGGTTGATGCGCAGAGGATGCCCCAACTATGCCAAGTCCTCGGCAGGCTGGCTATGGCTGCTGTCCGCCGTGAGGGTCTCACGGTACCGCCTGCAGACAATCGCCACTCCAAAACTCTCCTGGCTCCCAACGCTGTATCGCGAAAATGAACTGCCAAAACCCTAACCTACTTGTAAAATCTACACTACTCTAGCCTAGGGCCTACCGGTACCGGTTCAGTTAGGGCCTACTCGGCCTCTACGAAACCGGTCCTACAACTGCACTTAGGGCTCAAGGCCACTTAGGGCCGGTAACCACTCAGCCCCTACTGTTGTTAGTCCCAGCTATTTTTAGAATAGCGGGCGGCCCTCAGTGCTGACCAAAAAAAAACACAGCAAGCACACAACACACTGTACAACCTCGCCAGTCAGTCTCGGCAGTCGAAATCAGCAAGTCATTGCAGGCTTACCCCCCCGGGGAGCGAGGACCTCCGAGCTAGGGATGTAGGCGAGTTGAACGGCGAGGAAGGTTGCCCTTCTGAGCCGCTTCATATCGCAATACAACTGACTTTGCGGTCATAAGAAGTTCCCTTCTGTAGAACCATCTGTTCTCATAAGGAGGCTGGAATGCGAACCTCACAAGATACTGTCGATCGGGGTCTGTGCCCCACTCATCCTCAATCCTGTCCACGTCATATCCCTTGCCAAGGATCGGTGGGCCAAATTGAGGGAGGCGGTCTGGGAATGCATCAGCTAGAGTGAAGGGGAGCAGCTTAGATGCATGGAAGACCGGGTAGGTTCGTAGATGCAGCGGGACGTCGATGACATAGGATGGACCGAATGGATCAACGCCCACTGTATCTAAACCTGCCATGGACCCAGGTAACGAGGCAACAACTTGGAGGAGATATCCTCCTCCCTTGACAGCTCAGAACTGGCTACCTAGACATGATCACCAATGCGGATGGGGGAAGGCCGCCTGTGGCGATTAGCTTGTTCAATCATCGCCTTTTGGGCTTTGAACAAGTTCGCTCGTGCTCTTTCCACATCTATGCGGTAGCGTCTGGTGAACTCTGCAGTGCCTGGAGTCAGATCAGAATTGGCCTTATCGATGATATCATCAAGAGGCTGTCGTGGTTCACGTCCCCAGTGCAACCGGTATGGACTGAACCCAGTCGAGGAGTGGACAAACATGTTATAAACAAGCTGTGCCCGCGCCAAGTGGAGATCCCAGTCCTGTTGATCTGGAGAGATGACAGGATGCAGCAATTGGAATAGGACTTGGTTCATCACTTCAGCCTGACCATTGGCTTCAGGATGACGACCAGAAGTCATGTCCAATCGTGAGTGCAGATAGTCCTTACGGTAGGACTGCCACTCATCGCTGCAAAATCGGGGGTCTCTATCATTGACTATAGAAGTGGGCGGTCCATGGTGTGTAACCCACCTCACAACCGGAACTCTGGCCACTTCTGGCAAGGGGATGAACTCGTCGTAATTGGAGAACCTGTCCACGCAGACCATAACCTGACGCATGCCACGAGGGGTGGTCTTGCCTAAATCTGTGAAGTTTATCGACACAGATTCAGCAGGGCCATCAGGTATGGGTAAGGGTTTGAGCAGTCCCAAAGGAGGCCTACGCTGGACCTTATTCCTTTGGCAGAGCTCGCAGGTTTCCACATAGCGCAGCATATCACTCCGCATCTCCTTCCAGAAGAAACGTTGCGATAGGGCTGCATATGACTTTGGGAACCCAAAGTGTCCACCGGCGTCATGACACTTTGACATTAGTAGTATCCTGAGCCGCTGGTCCTAGGGAATGCACAAGCGCTCCTCCTCTCTACTGTAAGTGTACAACATATCTGAACTTAGAGCATAGCCTGGTTCAAAGTTAGGATCTGCTTGCAAATTCCTGGCTATGGGTCCAAAAGTCGGGTCCTGAGGCAACAGACGAGCAATGGTCTGATGGGTTTCCTCTCCAAAGGAGTGAGTAGAGGAGATCAACGCAAAAGAGCCAGGCCTACGAGAGAGGGTTCTTCCCTTCTTATGTTTCAGTTCAGAGTCAAACATGTCTATGAACTAAATGTATCGTGCCAACTTATCATTTAGCTCTCCCTGGGACTTCATCCACTATAAGGTGGAGTGATCTGAAAAGATTTTGAAGTGCCTTCCCAGGAGAAAGTGCGTCCAATGTTTCAGGGCACAGACAAGAGCATATAGCTCTTTCTCGTAGGTGGAGTCCTGCAGCTTTTGAGTTTTGATCTTCTTACTCCTAAACTCTACAGGCCGTAGACCATTCCCATCATCCTGCTGAAGAACTGCCCCAATGCCAGACTGATTGGCGCCAGTGGTCCGGATGAATGGCAGAGTGGGGTCAAGCAACTTCAGCACAGGTGCACGAGTCAAGGCCTTCTTGAGTCGTGTGAAGGCCAACTGACAGTGGAGGGACCAAAGAAAAGGAGTGTCTTTCTTTGTTAGGTTGGTCAGGGGTGCAGCCACTGCAGAAAAGTTCCTGACAAACTTTCTATAGTATGAGGCCAAACCCATGAAGGACCTGACATCCTCGTTGTCTGAGGTTGGGGCCACTCCTGAATAACAACTATCTTGGCTGCTTCAGGAGACAGGCCATCTCCAGAGATTACGTGACCCAGATAGATGACAGAGGGAACTCCAAAAGAGGACTTCTCCCTGTTGACCAAAGCCAAATGCTCCGCATGTTCCCTGGCAG